GTTGCCCCATGGTATCCCAGGCCCCTGGACGGATCAAGTGGTCAAGGAGATTTCCAGCTACTTCCAGATGTCCCCGAAATCCCTGCCGCCACAACTCATTGTACAGCTTGGCATCTGCGAAGAAGGATGGCCATATATTTGCAAGACCACACGGACGTATCACCAGTTCTCGCCTGACAAGAAGAACGCCCAGAAGAACCTCTTTGGGATCCTCTTCTCGTTTGTGCCTCGCCGATTGCTACCTGATAAGCATCGCACACAGTCACATTCGACGTTTTTCTGGGCCCATAATACCAATATGCAGGCGGCCATCAGCATTCTGCGAGATGAAGAGCTGATCAGACCGTCGAAATGGCAAGAGCACCCAACCGCGACTACACAAACTGGAATGCAGTGTGGTTGCCTCCGATGGGCTTCTACTGCAGAGGCAGCCTTCAATCTCATGAAGCGGCGGTCAAGGCAGCAGCCCAGTTCGCGGGAGTACACACTGATCGCCCCATGTGCATCGGTGGATCTGCAAGACTCCGGCAAAATCATTGCACTATTCCCCGAGGCGGCGTGTACGCCGACATCGCTGCTTCCCACTACTATGATTGCATTCACGCCAAAGATGGCAGGTGGAAACTCCAGGGCCTGGGTCTTTATCTATTGGCGAAAGGCATGGCAGCAGGAAGTCTGGTGTGATGTCCTGAGTGAAGCGGGTTTTCGTGGCTTGCCACGCCTGCTCGAGAAGGCGAAGCCAGGTTCCCAGCTACGTGGGAATGTTCTGGTGAATGACTTCGGCAATGCAGTCCGACACCTCCTTTTGCACTGGCCCACCGTGGTTTGTGCCCAGGCTTTCGTGGTATACATCATGACGCTCTTCTTCCGGAAAAAGCGTGTGGGGTTGCTAGATGCTCATGTCTTGGTGCTGTTTGTTTCATGCTTGTTGTATTGCTTGTTGCCTCCGCAGTTTGAGTTGACCACTGATTGAATCGCCCTTTCTTTCCAGCCATATTCTACACTGGAATGGATCATGGCGACCTTTTACGAGAATGCCGGCATATGCTGCATGCCATCTCGTCGCAGATCAGTATTCTTTTGGCTGGACTACAACGTCTTGAAGGTCTGCAGCGGCATCCACAGCCGCCACCCCCACCACCAGTACCGGACGGGCAACCACCGCCGCCACCCCCGCCATCATCGACGCCGTCGTCCGTGCCGGCCACATCAGTCCGACCAGATTATCCGACGGTACCAGTCACTCTTGTGGCCACCTCAGACAACCGGATGGAGCACACTGCTCATGTTCATACGGTGAGTGTCAGCACTTCCCGAGAACGCAGACGGAGAAGAAGGTCCAGACACCGGGAACCTCATCGGCGTCGGTCGCGCAGCCGCAGTCACCACAGGCGTCCTCTTGGCCGCCCTGCCAACGCTGGTCCCGCGTCTCACCATCGCGCCTTCACTCCAAAGCACCCACCGGCAGTCAAGGCCATGCCGGCGTGCCGGCCATCTGGTCTTTCATATGACCGTTGACGGACCACCAGCGGCAAAAGGTCCTCAGTATATCGACGCACGCATGTTTTGCTAACATGAGGTCTATGCTGTTCCGCAGCCTTTCTTGCTTGGTTTGTCCTTGCAGTGATTTCATTTGCCATGCAGTTGTCAGTGGAGTTTGTGAACAACCTGGTGGCGGTACTCAATGTCCTCGCATCCCAAGTAGCGACTGCTCTGGACACCCTGAACTTTGCCCTGGCGACCGAGCGAAACCAGCAGTCTGACACCCGAGTGTCTCCTAGGGCCCCACGGAATTCCAGGCACGGACTGCGCCTTCGCATCATCACAGAGCGCATCTCGTCCGATCGATCTCGCTCTCTACTCGAATTCGAACCCGGCCTCTGGATACTTCCTCCACCTGGTATATACCGGCCTTATCCCCGCCTCGTGCGGCACATCGAGATGCCGCTGACAGCATTTCTGGTCGCCGTCCAGAGTCAATGTTGGATCGGTTGCCACCGCCAAGGCCTCTTGCTCCCCTACCCCCACACAGTGGACGCGAACCAGGACAGACATTGCCTACCACACCTGATTCGGATTCGGATGGTTCAGTTCGTCCACATCCAGGTGCTTCATCGTTCCGTCCATCCCCCACGGTGGTTCATGGACCAGCGGACAAGGATTCCAGGCCCACCTACAAAACCATTGCCCGTTTCCTTCAGAAGCCCATTTTCCTCAAGCAGGCCTGGAAGGTCTACCAGCAACTTGAGGCTCGCGCTTAGGGCACCGTGCATCGAAAGAACCAGTGACTACCGGAGGACTAGCCCGTAGGACGTGGCAGTGCATTCTGTGAGCGTTGCATGTTGTCGTGATGGTTTGGATTGCAGTCATGGCAGATCGCATGATTCTTTCCTTGCTTGTTTGCATGACATGGCTGGCATGCTTTGCAGTAATGACTTGACGGACCTACTTGACATTTCTACCAGTGAAGACATTGTTGGCTGTCATGGATATTGTTGATGACTTGGATTTCATGCATGGCTGAGCTGCTCAAATCATGTCGGAGCAAGATGTGCAGACATACATTGCTTGGACCCATGGAGCGCAGCCGACGTGGTTACAGTTTCACGGGCCTGGCACATTGCTTGACAGACCAGTTCGATGGACTGCTTCACCTCCGCCCCCGCCAAGGTTTCCAATACTTCTCCCACCTCCACCTCCTCCACCGCCACCACCACCGGTGATTCTACACCCACAGTTTATGCCCTCATTGCGTGCCTCCTCGAGCCCTTCTCCTCGAGGACAATCCTGCCCTGCCACAGTGAAATCGCAGCGCACACGCCGCTCGATATGCGGCACTGACCAGTCCCGTGATGATGATCTACGCAGTCTTAGGCGTTCACCGAAACGCTCTCGAACAGCATCCGCTTCTGCACCGCGGAGATCTCGGCGACCCTTCACCGTGTTCCCTTCAAAACGAGCCACCCGTTCATCGCTGTCCCCATTGACAAGTTGCAAGCATTATACTGTCATGCCTTTCTACGTCATGGACGGAAGTGTCTTTCTCCCTGTGCTCGTCGCCGACCAGGACATTACCATTGCAGGTGTGTGCGGCATCAGCGGCGGTGAAGCATAGGTGTCGTATACTATAGACCTTGTGGATTTGTCCCGCCTTAAAAGTTGCCTTGCATTGTGTTGTTCAACACACTCTCGTTGCGTCAGGTTGTCATGGCATGAGTGTCTTCGCCGCAGATTCAGTGGATTTACGATTTCTTTCAGCGGCCCCGCGACGACCCGTGCGGATCTATACTCCAGGACAGCCTCAGCTATGGCAACCAGGAGAATCCGTACCTGATCTACCAGACAACTTGTTTCGGGAGTGGAAGCGGGTAACTGATCCCAGTGGTGGGACTGGTGAACACAGTCAGGCGTGGACCATTCGCGACTGGCAGCATCAAGGATACCAACGCATTCTGTCTCGCAGGGAGTCCTTCTCTACACATCATGCCCGTGATCAATCACTTGTTGATGTGCAGAATTCCGATGCAATCCGAGTCGAGGAAATGTTCACCTATGCTCCCCCTATTTCTGACGGTGATCGCTCGACTGCTTTGCAATTCCCTCCAGTCTTCTATGGCGACACTCGTAATGCTCATCGTGGTGATCTTTCGTTCCCGTCTTCTGAGCGGCTGAGGGCAGTTTCGCGTTCCCCTCGCCGCGGTGGATATTTTGGTAAACGATAGGGACACAAAGTTGAGCGTGTGATCTTCCTGCTGGAAAAGAGACTTCTCGCCCCTCACTGAGGGGCGTGTGTGTGCGGAGTGACAGAATGCCCTGTCACCACTATGAGTAGCAGGGGGCGTGGCGGTCTCCTCGTAGCCACGCCAACAAAGCTATCGAGGATGACTGGATGCATCAAGGGACGCCTTGATGTGTACCTGCGCCAGTTTTGCAAATGTCTATTTGGCCCCCCTGGTTGCGGCGCTGTTTGTGCTTCTTGTTCTTTCGGGTAACGTGTTCGCTGCTAGACGGAAACCAAGTGAATGCAAGCCGAACCTACACCCACTCGAGACTCATCAGTTGTACTCGAGACTCATCAGTTGTACTCGAAAGATTAGCACCCTCCATCTGGAGTTTAAGTGTGTTTCTTTCGCTTGTTGTTTGATGGCGCCCTGGTCAGCTTGGCTTAAGGGGAAGGAAAGCGCAAGGAAAGCGCGGTCTCTAGAGCCAAGGGAAAGGGCCTGCGACGAGAAGGGCCCATTCCGGGCGGTTTAGATCCAAAGACAAACCTCAGTTGTTCAAAGCCGACCTTTTGACCTTTTGTTTTTCCCTTGTTGGTCCATTTTTAGTAGAGGTCCCAAAAGGTCAACCTTTTATTTCCAGGTCCTTTGGGCAAGTGAGAAAATGAACCAAGTCAAGTTTCCCAAGCTTGCTTCTATCCCCCGATGCCGGACATGAGGTGCAGGTCCTCAAAGATGTCCCCCTTGTTCGTCCAAGGAAAATGCGATTTATGCCAGGGGGGGATACACCATTTCCCATTTCGGGGTAAGGATTTAGCCACCATTTTTACAACTCCCGTTTGTTCAAGAATATGTTTTATATTCCCCTGTTGGTTTTAAAAGGAATCGATCACTACTGGAAATATATATATATATATTGTTTTTTCCAGGGGGCTTGAGCAAATGGAAGACAAGCTGACTGGCCGAGAGGTCGTTCAGTTTTTCGCTGCGATATGCGATCTCAGGCCCGGTCACCCGCGAACCCACCCCACACAACAGGCACAACGAAAGCGGCTTTTCGCCATTCCCTTGCGAACGGCTGCGTTTTTTTTTAGAAGGGGCGATGACATGCTGGCATGTTGGCAAGATCACAGCCACAAAATTTCCGGCAAGGGACATAGTGGGGGGAAGTCCCAACGATTTCGGCAGGCGCAGTCCTTCTTGTTTATTCAGTTTTGGCCAGAGTCCTTTCCATTCCAGGTTTTGCTATTGACCTACTTTAGCTTCTTTCCCCGTGGCCAGGGTGACGCGGGTCAACTGCCTCACGCCTGGCCAAATTTCAGCGCTGCTGGCTGTGCAGGAGACTTTGCCCAAGGACCTTCAGGCTGAGCGACGGAGTTCTGCGGGCGTTCCCTAGATCCATCTAGATCCAGGGGGCCCTCAAGTGGGTTTCAAGGCGATTCCAGCGCGTAAAGGACGAAGATGCAGCATCCTAAACGCATTTGCTAGCGTCGCCGGATTGTTTTTTCCGGTTCTCTGGCGGTGTGCACCTCAACTGCAGGAATTCACCTGTGAGGGTCCCTAGAGGTGGGTTCATTTGGCTTGGGACGGTGTTCAGAAGCATGCGCGACAGATTCGTGACCAATTTGTTTGTTTAACGTTTCAAGTGAATCCAGTTATGTCCTTGAAGCCCATTTTTTTGAATCCTGAGAACGACCCACAACGCCTCCTGTGTTTGTTGTATGAACACGGGCTGCATCAAAGCTGGCTCCCAGGGCACCTGCAATGAACCACTCCACTGGCAATGAAATGGACCCCCCAAAATCGCCCAAAGGCAGGTCACTTGACAAACCGTTGATAGCCGCAGGTCCGGGAGACAGGTCCCCTCAAAAGATACATTCGGGGTACTCACGGGCTATTTTGTAGAAAAAAAACAGTTTTCCCTGCTGATCCCCTGCATGTGTTTGTTGGGATGCGTTCTTGCAGGAACCCCCCCCGCAAACTCTCCAAAGAGGCCACCCCAACTCGACTCCTGGCTTCAACGTGTCCCCCTCAACCCGACTAAACTGTGACCTCGAGTCGACTCAAGTCGAACGTGCAGGTGGTCTTCAGTGGTGGTGAGGCCTTGCCACTGGAAACCTGCCGCCGCTGGCGGAAGAAGTGGCCGCAGGCGCGAACGTGCTCTGCATATTCTATTCTGCCCCCAACATGTTCTCTTTAGTTTGATTTGTCCGGACCGATCAACAGCCAGCTGCTTATGAGCAACTGACAACAGTACTGGTAGGCTATTGTAAGCTTGGGCAGGATGAGAGGGGGCCATCTAAATTTCAAACCAAATTGTTCCGCGTTGTTTAGGGGAAAGAAGGCGTGGATATTTTTTGGGGGGGGGCCACGCACTGGGTTTCAGGTTTACAAAACACTCACCCAGTTGCTTGCTGTTTAAAGGAAAACCCAAAGGGAACAAACCAGTGTCAGGGGCTGTCAGTTTACATGTTGTTGCATCCTCCCGGGAGACGTGATTTTCTCCATCATCTTTGTTACCTTGATTGCCTCCAAAATTGACCTTCAGAGAAACAAGGGATAAAGGGGATACATTGCCGAAGGAAGTTTAGAAGGAACTTCTGTAGTCAAAAGATGGAACGCCTGATTTGCACATAGAAGTGAGTGAGGCGTAGACGTTTTAGGGTCGCTCTGTGGCCCGCGCTTTAAGGTGCCACCCACAGCAAAACAGCAAAAGGGCAAAATGACATGAGCAACCCGAACAGGGTCAAAAAACTTTGCCCAGCAAAAATGGAGAAAAAAGGGTTTCTAGATCCCCCAGTAGTGGCCTTTTACCCTTTTTGGGGGGAGGCTTCCTCTACTATAGACTACAGAAAAAGAGTACCCTTTTTCTAACCTCTCTACTGCAGGACAAAGGGTTTTGACCCTGGGCAAAGGGTTCCACAGCTCGGCCCGCAGTGAGCTCTTGACCATTGAGACACAGAATTGCTCGGATGGCTCAAGTTGTTCTGCCGGATTTTTCAGGGATTGTCTTTTTTCAAACCACTCTGGGGGTTGTTTACATGGAAAGCCACTGGGAAAGACTCGTTGTTGGAAGCACGGCCTTTGCGGCTGCCAATGTTTTTCAAAATGGCCTTTGCCTTGGTATTCCAAGGGAATCCATAAGGAAGCCAGACACTTTAGGGGACCGATTCCTATTTTGAGAAGCGTGCGGTGAGAGGCTTTAACGCTCTTCGCCTGGCTTAGAAAATAGGTCAGTAGGGCTCAGAAGCTCCCAATTAGAACCTACTTAACATGAGGTGGTCTTTGTGTCAGTTTGCTGCTGTCCAGGTGAGATTGATTTGCAACTACGCGAGCACGGAATGTGCTGCTCAGCTGAACATCTGCAACGCCACTGGAAGGTCTGTGCAAGCCAATGTCTGATCGTTCGGCTCTTGTCGGGCTGGCCCCTCTATTTGGGAGTTCCATATTGCTGGCCCGATGACCATGGCTGCAACCAATGGGAACCCCATCGTTATCGAACCTTTTGATCAGCTCCCATGTTCCTTGATCCAGTTGTTTCTTCAGCACCGTCCACCTGGAGCAGCTTTTTTTACGCCGATCGGCAGTGCCCACCTGCAGTTTTTTTACGCCGATGCGATGCGCCCCAAAAAAATATATAAAGTCTTGGCGGCTCGGGTTCGGAACCAGCGAATCGTCCGGTCTAACGTTGTTTCAGTCGGTTAAGTGGTTGGGTTTCCATGTTTTTAGGTTTGTAGTTGGTCTAGTGGTTGGGCTTCCACTTTTTAGACTTTCAGTTAGTTTAGTGGTTTCTCAAAGTCAAGTTGGAAGTGGTATGATCCATGCTGTCAGATTGCCTTGAAGTTGCGAGAAAGGCCAGACAGATTCGCAATTCCAACGAACGGCACGATGGCCACTGAAAGAAAGTGTTACTGGCATGCCGCCCTGGTACTGTCTCTTCACCTTCGAAGTGGCAACAGCAACAACCATCAGCTGGACAAAAGAAGGCTCAGCTGTTGCAAAGGCGTGAAGGTCAGTCCAGGCCCGCAAATATTGCATGCAGGTACTTGTGGGAACGTCGAATTTGCATTCAACCATGAAGCCACACAACCGGGAAGCCATGCGGCTGCCGATGCGGCCGAGAGTGAGGCAGCAGACGTGGCCTTTGCGGAAATTACGGAAGAGATCGCAAGCAGCTTGCCTGGTAGTCATTCTCGCACCGGAGTTTGTTCTTGTTAACCAAGGGTCTAGGTCATTGCGAGTACAATCTGTGTGCTAATGACGTGAAATTGGTTTTAAAGTACCCCATTTAGGCCCTTATACCTTGCAAGGGGGGCGTCCCAAACAGTCCGCGAGATGGACATCCAACTTGTTTGGGTGCCGGCCTGGCTGAGGTTTGGACATGCCTTACGCCCCCATTTCTTCGAGTTCGAATATCATATGCTGGAATAATGAGCTCCTCATCCAGGATCAGGACTGTCGCTGCACGCCGTGCACGGGCGCAGGGCGGACAGCGTGCTCCTTGCAACTGAAAAACTGCAAACCGTCCGCAAGGCTCAGACTGTGTTCAGCAAAAGCAGTGCAGAAAAGCCAGTGTTGCAAGTACTGAAGCCAATCTCTCCAGGGAAGTTTCAAGGCCCGCGCTGTAGAAAAACAAATGTTTCAACCGATCAAGACAGACAGCAACCTGGGTGTGACTGCTGGGTTTTTGCAGTGCCTCACAAAAGGCCCGTCAGACCCTGGGGCCCCACCTCCAAACGATGCTCTATTCTCTACCCAGTTGCCCAGTGCCGCCCTTTTTTTTGAGTTTAGGGCAGACTAAATACGGAACAGCGTTAAACAAACTCAACTTTTAGTGCACATACCCTAGCCTTCGCCAAGTGGATCGCTTTGCCAGGAGCTGGTTGTGACGGGATGGAATGTTTGCAGCGGGTACCTGCCACCCACAGAGCGCCTTGCCAGATCAACCCTCAAGAACCCAGCTGTAACCAGTGACTTGCTTCCTTTCTCAACGTCATGGTTGGGGAAGAGTTTCCCTTCAAGATCTACCAACGCAAAAAGCGTGCCTATAGTCGGTATTTTCCCCTGGAAATTTACTGGGTTTCTGGGAGTCATTACCTGGTGCTCCAAAGCAAAGCAGATGTTTTGGTCCGCGGGAGAACGGCGATACATCTGCCAAGTGGCGGGTGACATTCCAGCAGGAACATGAGGGACATGCTCATGCTTGATCATTTTGGGGGTTGCAGGCTCTTGCTTGCAGCATGCACACAAACGACAGCCCATGTTCAAAGGCGTGACAGGCGCATGAGGAAATGACAAACTACAAAGCCTCCACAGTCAAGTCATGTAAGAAGCGAGTTAAACGTGTCCCGGAAAGGGCCGAGTTACACTCAATGTACGCTTCCTTTTAGAGTCCCCTAGCTTCCCCAATTTTCTGGCCAGACCGTTTGAGTGGTCAAGAAGTTCAGTCTTTGGATCCACGAGAGCTGAGTTACGGGCCAAATGGGGGCCGCATTTAGACTTTACGCCTTCCTGAGGTCCACCTCCTTCTCGCCCTGTGAGGATGGCATAAGCAACAGCTACCGGACTGGCGACTCGATCGAATGTGTCGGGCGGCTGCCTGAGGTGTGCACCCCTTGCCCCCCCTTCTCCCACGCGTTGAAGTGGGTGCGCCTCATGAACCAACCAAACGAATATGCTTGTTGGGTAATTATTGCCCACTCCGTGCAGTTGTGTGAAGTTCGAGGACGCAATTCTGTGATTTCGGCTTCGCCAGGCGCTTGACTACGTCCCCACATGCAAAAATTACAAGGAGTTGTAGTTGAAGAAACTGAGTATTATGCATGTTTGACAAGGTGAGATGCCAATGATGCACCACCACTTGTGTAGACATGTTTGGTCAGTAACCTTCATGTGGCATGCTTAGCTGAGAAGGGATTCCATGAGTGTAGCTTGCTAGGAGGAATCGTCATGTGTAGACGTTGTGGAACCCATGGTAAAGAAAAACTTCCATTCATGAGGTTCATACTTTTGCAGTGACGACACATTTCATTCGTCATGCTTTTCATTTCCCCAAGAAACCAAACTTCCAAAACAATTCCGCGATTGGCTCAAGCTGCCCAAGGGTCACAAGAGGTGCGTCCGCCATTTTCTTGACGACGTGCGGTTTCTTTACTTTTGGAGGCGACATTACTTGGATCAGGATTGGAGTTGCTTGAAATCAATCACAGCGAGCTGTGCTTATCTTGTTTCAACTGGTTATCAGCCGTATAAGCGGCTCTTAGCTGGCACTGGATCGCACAGCCACGGCCGACCAGGCGGACCTCCCCATTCCGGACGATTTGTGGGAGCTGTTCAAGTGGCAAAGATCTGGTAGAAGGGGCACAAGCCAGAAGGCGAAAGTACTGAGACAAGTCTTGGGAGCAGACGGGTGGGACTCGGATCGTAAAGTTATCTTACTTGATCGAGCATGACACTTGAACCAACCTGCCGGTGGACTTGTATTACTCGGTAGCTGTCACTGAAGAATCGCAATCCGCAGCTCCATCTTCTTCGACAGCCGGGGCCTGCCGTCCCAGAAGCACCGCCTCGTGAGGCGAGTAGCCATCGCAGCCGGTCGCGGGAGTGGAGGAGGAGCTTGATCTGACGGATTTTCACGTCGAGCGCGCGGAGACTTGTTTTGAGCTGATTTGCGCAGGTTCTATTTGGCCGCAGAGGATTTTTGGGAGGGAAGCAACTCCTTGAGATTCCGGCCGATCACAAGAATGTTTTCGTGGATTATTCTATTAGTCTAAGACGATTGATCGCTCGCCTGACAGGGCCGGTTTAGCCACCAACTTGAGGGCCATCCAAGATCTGAAGCGTCGATATCCGCGGACTGTTTGGATTTGCTTGAGTTCATAGCGATTGGACTTGGCGGCAAGTCTTGGACAACTTTTCCAACAATCTTGACGAAGCGAGGGAAGTGATCTCTGCTTTGATTACCTGCCCAGAGAAGACTGGCATTGGAGGGAAGGTCCAAGTGATCAGCGCGTTTCCTTTTTATCCTTCAGCTTGTTGCATAGTCGACAACAACAACGAGAGTTGTGAACGCATCTCTTTTAGGGGTAGTTGCCCAGCACACCTCAAATCAAGTCCTGTCCCAATGACATCATCTTGCAGTGATTCATCTATGTGGCCTAGAAATTTGCACTTAATCAGACCACGCAGATCTCCACGTATAGTCAACAGCAGCCAAATGCTGACCTAAGCGTCCTAAACCTGGCTGCGCAGGCTTGTAATGAACTAGATCGGGTAAGGGCTCACTCAAGCCACTGGGATCTACCATCAAGCTCAAACTGCCGTTGACAGTGCGGCACTGTGCAGCAGGCACATGTCCAGACCCACGAAAAGGATAGGAGGTTAATCATGGCAAAATCCCGGTCTTGATCACATGCAACAGCAAATGCATACGATCAAGGAACAGGAGTCCATGATTCAGAGTATGCAGATGAGTGTTCAACATGGTGCCCCCCAGCAAAACATCCATCATGGCACGGACCCAAATTCGCGTGTGCAGGAACCATCGCACAAAGGCCGGTACTAAGGGTGACAAGTCCAAATCCGACCATAAGCGTGACGGTGAGAAGCGCGAAAGCTCGCACCCTAAGGGGAGTCTGATGTTCAGGAACCCAAAATGGCCGGATCATTGGGGCTTCGGGGAGGAGACCAGTTGATCCAGTAGCCAGGAAGCACGGCCTAACCGTGATAGTGGGTCTCAGAAGCACGCCTCAAAATCCTGGAGGGGATGTTCATCTAAGAGCCGTGCTTGCCGAAGTGATGAAAGTGAATCTGAGTCTGATGCGAACCCGCCCTCAGGGTCTTCTTCCAGTTCATCGGGTCCGAAAAAGCTCAGGAGTAGCAAAACTTCGCCAAGTGATTCCGATAGTGGTTCAGATTCTTCTCAAAGTGACGATCCTGACCGCAAGGAGAAAAAGCTGATGCGAGTCAAGGCTTCTGAAACTTTCAAGATCCCTGCTCTTCCGAAAGCAAAGGGGGTTTAGGAATCAGCTGTGTAGTAACATCACAAAGCTGGCAAAAAAGGCGATGAGGCACCAGTGTTCAAATGGATCAGGTGCCACCGTGAGGACGATGCTTCAAAGTTGAAGGATTCTGGCGATCGCCCTCTGTTGGATCGGATTTTGGGTCATCGTTTGTTGGAACAGGCGAAAGGTACTCGCTTTTCCATGGATTTCCAATCCTTGCAGGAGAAAGCCCAGAAAAAGGTTGCCAGTCAAAAGGTCAGGCATGTTCTTGCAAAGTACAAACTCGATCGCGACAGAGGCACCTGTTTGACTCAGCACCGTTTGTTGTCCCAATGATGCACCACCACTTGTGTAGACATGTTTGGTCAGTAACCTTCATGTGGCATGCTTAGCTGAGAAGGGATTCCATGAGTGTAGCTTGCTAGGAGGAATCGTCATGTGTAGACGTTGTGGAACCCATGGTAAAGCAAAACTTCCATTCATGAGGTTCATACTTTTGCAGTGACGACACATTTCATTCGTCATGCTTTTCATTTCCCCAAGAAACCAAACTTCCAAAACAATTCCGCGATTGGCTCAAGCTGCCCAAGGGTCACAAGAGGTGCGTCCGCCATTTTCTTGACGACGTGCGGTTTCTTTACTTTTGGAGGCGACATTACTTGGATCAGGATTGGAGTTGCTTGAAATCAATCACAGCGAGCTGTGCTTATCTTGTTTCAACTGGTTATCAGCCGTATAAGCGGCTCTTAGCTGGCACTGGATCGCACAGCCACGGCCGACCAGGCGGACCTCCCCATTCCGGACGATTTGTGGGAGCTGTTCAAGTGGCAAAGATCTGGCAGAAGGGGCACAAGCCAGAAGGCGAAAGTACTGAGACAAGTCTTGGGAGCAGACGGGTGGGACTCGGATCGTAAAGTTATCTTACTTGATCGAGCATGACACTTGAACCAACCTGCCGGTGGACTTGTATTACTCGGTAGCTGTCACTGAAGAATCGCAATCCGCAGCTCCATCTTCTTCGACAGCCGGGGCCTGCCGTCCCAGAAGCACCGCCTCGTGAGGCGAGTAGCCATCGCAGCCGGTCGCGGGAGTGGAGGAGGAGCTTGATCTGACGGATTTTCACGTCGAGCGCGCGGAGACTTGTTTTGAGCTGATTTGCGCAGGTTCTATTTGGCCGCAGAGGATTTTTGGGAGGGAGGCAACTCCTTGAGATTCCGGCCGATCACAAGAATGTTTTCGTGGATTATTCTATTAGTCTAAGACGATTGATCGCTCGCCTGACAGGGCCGGTTTAGCCACCAACTTGAGGGCCATCCAAGATCTGAAGCGTCGATATCCGCGGACTGTTTGGATTTGCTTGAGTTCATAGCGATTGGACTTGGCGGCAAGTCTTGGACAACTTTTCCAACAATCTTGACGAAGCGAGGGAAGTGATCTCTGCTTTGATTACCTGCCCAGAGAAGACTGGCATTGGAGGGAAGGTCCAAGTGATCAGCGCGTTTCCTTTTTATCCTTCAGCTTGTTGCATAGTCGACAACAACAACGAGAGTTGTGAACGCATCTCTTTTAGGGGTAGTTGCCCAGCACACCTCAAATCAAGTCCTGTCCCAATGACATCATCTTGCAGTGATTCATCTATGTGGCCTAGAAATTTGCACTTAATCAGACCACGCAGATCTCCACGTATAGTCAACAGCAGCCAAATGCTGACCTAAGCGTCCTAAACCTGGCTGCGCAGGCTTGTAATGAACTAGATCGGGTAAGGGCTCACTCAAGCCACTGGGATCTACCATCAAGCTCAAACTGCCGTTGACAGTGCGGCACTGTGCAGCAGGCACATGTCCAGACCCACACGAAAAGGATAGGAGGTTAATCATGGCAAAATCCCGGTCTTGATCACATGCAACAGCAAATGCATACGATCAAGGAACAGGAATCCATGATTCAGAGTATGCAGATGAGTGTTCAACATGGTGCTTCCAGCAAAACATCCATCATGGCACGGACCCAAATTCGCGTGTGCAGGAACCATCGCACAAAGGCCGGTACTAAGGGTGACAAGTCAAAATCCGACCATAAGCGTGACGGTGAGAAGCGCGAAAGCTCGCACCCTAAGGGGAGTTCTGATGTTCAGGAACCCAAAATGGCCGGATCATTGGGGCTTCGGGGAGGAGACCAGTTGATCCAGTAGCCAGGAAGCACGGCCTAACCGTGATAGTGGGTCTCAGAAGCACGCCTCAAAATCCTGGAGGGGATGTTCATCTAAGAGCCGTGCTTGCCGAAGTGATGAAAGTGAATCTGAGTCTGATGCGAACCCGCCCTCAGGGTCTTCTTCCAGTTCATCGAGTCCGAAAAAGCTCAGGAGTAGCAAAACTTCGCCAAGTGATTCCGATAGTGGTTCAGATTCTTCTCAAAGTGACGATCCTGACCGCAAGGAGAAAAAGCTGATGCGAGTCAAGGCTTCTGAAACTTTCAAGATCCCTGCTCTTCCGAAAGCAAAGGGGGTTTAGGAATCAGCTGTGTAGTAACATCACAAAGCTGGCAAAAAAGGCGATGAGGCACCAGTGTTCAAATGGATCAGGTGCCACCGTGAGGACGATGCTTCAAAGTTGAAGGATTCTGGCGATCGCCCTCTGTTGGATCGGATTTTGGGTCATCGTTTGTTGGAACAGGCGAAAGGTACTCGCTTTTCCATGGATTTCCAATCCTTGCAGGAGAAAGCCCAGAAAAAGGTTGCCAGTCAAAAGGTCAGGCATGTTCTTGCAAAGTACAAACTCGATCGCGACAGAGGCACCTGTTTGACTCAGCACCGTTTGTTGTCCCAATGATGCACCACCACTTGTGTAGACATGTTTGGTCAGTAACCTTCATGTGGCATGCTTAGTTGAGAAGGGATTCCATGAGTGTAGTTTGCTAGGAGGAATCGTCATGCGTAGACGTCGTCTTCCACCCTTTCGCATCTGCAGGAACCCATGGTAAAGCAAAACTTCCATACTTTTGCAGTCATGACGCATTTCATTTGTCATGCTTTTCATTTCTCCAAGAAACCAAACTTCCAAACGCATCCGCGTTTGGCTCAGCTGCCCACGGGCTAAAGTTAAAAGAGGTGCCTGCGCTATTTTCTTGACGACGTACGGTTTCTTTACTTTTGGTGGCGGCATTACTTGGATCAGGGTTGGAGTTGCTTGAAATCAAGCACGGCGAGCTGTTCTTATCTTGACTCAACTGTTGTGCCATCTACTGCCACCCTGGCGTTCTCTCACGCATTCCGGTACTGAGTGCCTCCAAGAATGCCTGGCTGTAACCGGTAGGTGCCCAAGACCGGATTTATGTGGGCAACTGCTAAGCACGTTGGATTCCTGTTTCGGGAGACGGACATCAGCATCACGAGGAAGACAACTGCCAGACAAATGCAGTACAGATGTTGACTGTTTGTTCCGTGTAAACTTCCTGATACCATATGGCCGTGGGTCAAAACCAATGGTACGATTTTGGGGTGGATGAACATCCATTTGCCACCTATTTTGATGTTCACCAGGGGTACAAGGTTTTGACCCACAACCATATAGTTTACAACTCACCAGGTCAGCCAGCTGCGCAGAAGCTTACGGAAGGCTTTCGTGGTCGGGTTTGAATCCGGATCAAACTGGATCGATGTTTGTTTTTTAGGGTCGCGCGCGAGGTGACACTGCGGAGATGCAAAATGGCAACGTGTTCATCATGGGCCGGAAAGATTCAGTGTCTCAGACCAAATTTGCGCTCAACCGCCTCTCTTGTGAGACGGCATGATGTCATCTCACGGATGGCCACCTGAAAGTTGAAGTCAGATGCAATGCCAGGTTACTTGCGGGGCTATCATAGGTTTCCCACCCAACATCCAAACCAACCTGCAGATCCCAACCCTGGAAATACCTCCAAACCAAACCTCCAAACCAAGATCCCAACCACCCTGGAAATGAGGGGAGCTGGTTGAAAATGAGCTGACCCAAGCCAAGATCCACCAAGATCCAAACCATCAAGATCCAACCTTTGGCGCTATTTGCCTCGCCTTTTTATCAGGAACAAATAAGAGAGAACATGTTTGTTTCCATTTTTTGTTTTTCGGGAGAACAAAAACCGAGGAAAACAAAAACAAAAAAAACACCCGCCGCTTCCTGCGGAGAGGGCGCGAAGATCCGCGGCTTCCGGGTCGACCTCAGCGGCCTGGAGGCCCTGCTGGGCAGGTGCCCGGCGGTGCGCGCGCCTCGGCGTTCGCGTCACTAGCGCGCGCGGTCGAAAGGTGGGGAAGGAGACGTGGAACGAGCACCACTGTGGATGGGCGAAATCCGTTCGCACCACCTACTCAGTTGTTCAAAGCCGACCTTTTGACCTTTTGTTTTTCCCCTTTTTGCTCCATTTTTAGTAGAGGTGCCAAAAGGTTACCCTTTTATTTCCAGGTCCTTTGGGCAAGTGAGCCTAAGAAACCCTGGAATGATTCAACTGCAAGGATTTTGTCCACCCACAGTAGGTCGACCGTAAACCAGTGGAACCCTTACGAACCATTTGAGTGCCGCATGGGGCGGTCGGTGAAGCCAAAGGCGCGCATATTCCCGGAGCTGGGGCTTGGCGGTTGGGTTCCGTTGGGTGGGTGCTATGTGTTGCCTAGATCCCCCAGCTGCCCTTTCTCTCACCCTTTTTTGGTTGGGAGGGTTGAACTACTAAAATCGACTACAGAGACGGTTTCCTTGCAGGGAATTGTTCGAATCAGGGGGATGATGCCAGCAGCGTCAGGTCCTTCATTGAGCCACCAACTTGATATGAAAGCATGGAAGGAGAGGAGGAATGAACCACTGGCGGTTTCCTGTAAGGGACCGAGACCTGTTTTGAGATGCACCCAAATAGGTCCAGGTTGAGTAAGTTCTTGTTTAGCAAGAATCTCAGGTAATTTGAAGATCAATGGAATGGACCCAATTAAACCCGGGATCCACGCGGTTTGCGGTTTTCCTTTCTGGTTGGCCGAAGAAGCAAAACACACAAAAGGCGTACCATCAAAAAAGGCAGACCCTTGAAACGAGTTCGCATGACCGCAGTACATGATTTCCTTTGTTGCTGGTTGCATTGAAGCAAATCGACAAGAGTGTGCCTTAGCCAAGACAGCTGCAGACGTCACCCAAATGTCCAACGCCTCAACGCAAACTGCAAGGGCCCCTTCCGACCAAGCTCCACAGCACGAATAATGACGAGCCCATTCAAAACAATCCTTCTGGACCGGTGCGTCCACTCTTGTCTAAGAGGGGAGTTCCCAACATGAATGTTGACCCTAGAATCAACCCCAGTGTATTGGGAGTGAAAAGTGATTAATTCCCTCTAAATCCAAGAACGCCCCCTATTAATAGACAGGGGTTTATGAACCCGGGGTCAACAGTGCGGTGGTTGCCGTTCTTCATTCTTGCATTTTTTCGCCGGGGTGCCGCATGGGGCGGTGAAGCCAAAGGCGCGCATATTCCCGGAGCTGGGGCTTGGCGGTTGGGTTCCGTTGGGTGGGTGCTATGTGTTGCCTAGGTCCCCCAGCTAGGTGTCCTTTCTCTCACCCTTTTTTGGTTGGGAGGGTTCCCCTACTAACATAGCACTACAGAAAAGTTGGTACCCTTATCTAACAGTGCATATCCCCTTGAGCTGTGCTCTGAAAACCTGGCGGCTGGCCCCAGTTGGCCCATGAGGCATCGTGCCCCATGAAGTTCAACGAGGGACTCTACGTGGTCTGCGCCACGGATGACCTGGACCTGGTCAAAGCTTTCGCCAAGGACAGACGTTCGGCCGCTCGCCAAGGGACGCTCGGGACCCAGCCCCCAGAACCCAGCCCCGAAAAGTGGATGGATTCTTCTAGGTCCTCCAGTGCCCTTTTTAGCCGCTTTTTTCGGGGGAGGGTTCCTCTACTAAAATAGACTACAGAGAAAAGTACCCTTATTCTAAGAGCGGAACCCTTCCCCCACTTGCGCCGAGAGCGGGATCTCCCACGTGGCTTGATCCAACAAATCAGAAGTTTTGCTCCCAAACGGGTGAAGCTTTCCGAATCCCAGTTGCAACCTTTTCTGGACCAAAACCAGGTCCACCACTCAACCCCGCGCCGGTTGTTTCCCCCCGTAGGAAAAAAGGGCGATGTTTCTTTCCGGGAAATGGGAGCAGGAACCTTTTCGTGAAGAGGGTTGCTCCCCTGGGTCCGGATTGGACCCGGTTCCCGCTTCGAGCATTTCTTTGCCATGCCAGAATACCCCTGCAATTCTTGCAGTGCATAATGAGTCCGCAAGTTCATCCAATACATGTGAAGCCCTTTCCGAAGTAGTTACCAGGAGTTCCGGGCATTCGGGGGGGGCAAACCTGGCCATGGCCAGGAAAACTACCAACATGCGCAGCTTATCGTGCTGGCCTCAGCTTCCATGTTCGCGAGGGCAAAGGGCATTGCGCGGGCACTTTGTGTTCGTGAGAGCAGATGCCAAAAGCTGGGCCTTGTCCAAGTTTGGGAAACATACTGCAGAGGTTGCTTTATAGTTGCTGGGAACAAGACTGGGCGGCGTAATTTCGCTGCATTGCAACTCCCGGGCGTGAGCCAAGCGGTGCAACAATGCTTGAGTATCTGAGGTATGGGTGCAAGCACCTTGGAGAAGACAGCGCCGGCGGGGAGGGGGGGACATTTTGCTTGCACGCAGAGTCAGCGACTAGAACTATGCAATTTCCAACAGACCGGTGAGCGGAGTAAGGCAAGAATAACCGATGCGCAATACCCACGGCGAACACGTCCATGCATTGTCCCTTTCAACGACGGAGGGGGTTCAATGTGGCTTCCAGGAATATTCCTTTGTGCGCCGGCCTCGCAATTGTTCATTGCATATATGTCAAGCCCGCTGAATCTGACACGTTACATCACGGGCCTTTGGATTGGAGTTGACCATTTGCGGCTCCACACGAAATACGCAAATCCAAAGAGGTGGGGTGGTCCTTTCACTGAGTGAAGGATGCATGACTCAAACCAAACACCAGCTGCGCCGCAGCATGTTTTGCAGAAGGATTTTAGCTTCGGGGCTGGAACATCCAAGAGGTCCGCGAAGGCACGTATGTGCTACATGTGCCGCGGTTTGCCTCTCGCGAAAATTCCGCGCGGTTTGACTCAGGCGGAGCCTTGCGAAGGCGACCCAGCCTCTCTCTCCCCAGCAGTGTATAAGCCCAGACCTCTAAGAAGAACAAGTTTGTGCGCGGTTTCACTTTGATGTTGCACTCACGCTCATGTTTAGCAGCTGTTTGAGTGGCAATTTCTTTGGGTCGTCCAACATCAGCACTTTATCCTTATGCCAGATGGTCCTGGTTCGCTTTCTTACATTGTTGATGACTCGTTGCGAGGTGTCTTTGCTTAGTGCACCAAGTAGGATAGTGCCTGTTTCGGTCTTGCCGGAGCTACCTCGCATGCTTGCTTTCAATACTCTTCCGCGACATGCGAGTACTCATAGCCGAAGAATCCCCTTTTAGGGTTGAACCCCTGCTCGACATGAAGCTGCCTGCTTGGCACCGGCAGATGGTCGAGCATGGGCTTGGGCTCGCTCACGCATCTAAGGAATCTTAACGCATTTCATGGCAAGCCGGGGGGCAACTAGCTCACAATGATGCCTTGGACCTTTGCTTGGGTGACGGGTCCACCTTCCGAGTTCCCAGGTTGCGGGGAACCCCAATCTATTTCTTAGGCGGAAATTGGTTCTGGATTTGACAGATGTTTTGATCTATCGAAATTGAGTCAGACTTATCTCAGGCGTAGGAGTTGGCAGATGTTTTGATGGACCCAGAGTAGACTCAATCAGACTGGTTCATTTCCCAGGCAGCGCTAATCCAAGGAATAAGTAGAAATCACATCTAAACTGACCGATTCCAGGCCAGGAAGTGGCATGTCCACCCCTAAGTGGCATTCTCCGGAATCCAAACATCCGACGGAGTCAGCGATTTGGCCACCAGGTTTGGTCTCCGTTCTGATTTCCCAACCCAAGAATGGGGGTGACCCTTCCGATTCTTGACAGCCACACGCACCCCAACAGAATCTGAGCAAAGGTGCAGAGCCTACCCTTCACCAAGTCCGGCAAGGCAGACAAGAAGGCCATCCTGCGCCTTGATAC